CATGATTGGTAAGGGCCAATGGGAAATTTGGCCAGGACGCCGGGGTTACACCCCTACTCTTTTCGAGATACTCTGGGATTTTTAATGACCACAGAGAGTCAGGACCTCGGTTTTACGTCTCATCCGATGGACGGCTCCTGCTTACAGTATAGTGTCCCCATCATTATACTGGGGCATTAGGACCCACACAGACCACAGGGTGAGCTGTCCCTCTTTTATATAAAAAGAAGAGTAGATTACATTTGGTAATGGTAGGATAGATCTGTTCGTAAAATGGTAATATAACAGTATTAAAGTGTACAAAACTATTAAAAAGCATGAGTTTATTAGAAAGGTCACTAATGAGAGCAATTCCATTTGGCTCATTTGGCTTGTGTGCTGACGGCTACTGCTTCTCGTGTCCCTCTTTACACTGAATGAGTTATATAACTGTACCAGTCAGGGTACAGGAGGAGGGTAATACATTCCTGAATAATTGATGTTGAATAATTTAATACGGCAGGATCCTTTAAGGACTAGCGGGGGCGGGGCCAAGAAGGGGTCAGGCGTGCGCGCTCCGGGAGCTGGTAACCTCGGCGTGCCCGCCCCTCCGCGCGGCACACGGAGCCTCGCGATTGGCTGCCGGCGTCTGCGCTCCTGCGTGCGCGCGCTGCGGTGTCACCTTGCTTTTAAACCGGAGCTGGAGGCAGGGGTCCGGGCAGCGTCAGGCTTTGCAGTTGCGTTTTCACTGCACCATGGCGGCGACAGCGGGGGCTAGCAAGCCCAAAACGTCCCCCAAATCTATCAAGTTTCTTTTTGGGGGTCTGGCCGGGTGAGTGGTGCCGTTGGCACGGCTGAGCTTTTTCCGCCTGGGGGGGAGACGCTCCGGTGCAGATTGGGGTCACAGCGCTTCCTGCGACAGGGAACAAATCCCGTTAGAAGCATGACGTGGTAAATTATTGCGTTATTGCTGCCGGGACTGGTCCCTGCTTTTGGGTCGGGTCTGCTTGTCCTGGATGGGGCGGGGTGTCCGTACTGTCCTGTACGTGTGGGTGCGTGTTTCTGTCGGGAATTAAGCTTTGCGCACCCGTGTGTGTGTGTGTGTGCGCACCCTGCGCCCCCCCCCTCGTGTGTATACTCTCCACAACCCCTGTGGTGCCTCTTGTGTGTGCGTGTGGACTCTGTGCTCCCTCTGTGTGTGTGTGTACTGTCCACAGCCCCGTGGTTGCTCTCAGTTCCCCCGTGTGTATCTCAGGATGCCCGGCCTTGATCCCCTGTCCGGTTGCAGTTGAGTTTTTGTCTGTTCCGCTCCCGAGTTCGTGAATAC